GATATTTATATCTAAGAAGCCAGTTAGTTACGTTGCTTGAACTTCTTCGAACTCATTTCGGATTGCCTTCAACTTGAAATAACGCCCAAGATGGTTATGTGGCCATCCTCCTCCGTTAGACCTTTGGACACACCACCTGCTAACTCTTTAGCCTGGAACACCTAACTTGATCGCCAAGCTGCTCCAACTAGTGAAGGGAAGACATACCACTTACAGCTGTTCAAGAATGTCTAAACAGATAATAAGGGTAAACAATCACAGCACAACGCAGCAACTGCTTTCTCATTCCTTAAAAATTCAAATTGTCATCAATGTGATTCAATCAGCACAGATAAACAAATCGATCACTGAAGGTGAAATGGCTGATTTTCAATTTATTTGATGAATTTCCTTGATTCCTCACACATACATTTCGTCTTCAACATAATAATAGCTTTATTCTCGACAATGTTTATAAAAAGCACAGGACTTTCAGCGGAGTTTATTGCATGACATAATCCCTTCATTCAGGTTCTTTAAATAAAAGATTTATCGGCAGTAGATCGTGTGACACAACTCTATTTGACCTGAAGAGTAAAACAACCCACCACTGTGATATTTCTTCTTTTTCTCCTTCGAGAAATACTCAATATTTGGTTGAATGCCAATTATAAAAAGTTCAGGAGTACATTTTGTGAACCAAGGACATCACCCAGGAACGGTCATCTCATGCAGTGGGATAAGTTGCTACCAAGTGTAATGCTTTTTTCACATGTTTAGTAGAAACTTACTAATCCGTAGGCCATTAATGTTTTAAATACTCGCCAAAGTGAAGAATATTATTAGAGGTCATATTTTACTAGATTTAAACAAAGTGAACAAGAGAAATTATATGCAATGTAATGATGGAGGTTATCGGTAGCCCAGGTTTTAAACAGGCCGCCCAGACTGGGCGGTCAGGTTCTGTTCTGTCAACTCTGTCTGGAAATACGTCTTTAAAAGCAAACGGGTATCCGGTGTGGAAGTCATACAAAATATAAAAAGCGTATACATTGTTTCTCAGTCCTGATGTAATGACAGAAGGCAAGAGTCAGGCAACAGATCATTTATTAAGGAAATCAACGCAAATTTATATATGTTTTCATGTACATTACTATGGATACGTAAACAAACAAACACAGTCTTACGATTGGTTGTTTCTCACGACAAATCTTGGGAACGTAAATACTGACGTAAATTACTGTCTACCAATTTGGCTAGTAGACAGCTCTCACCACACTGAGAGTGATAATGAAAATAAGAAATAGATTGTTTTCACAGGAAAACTGTCTCATTTACTTTCTAAAGTGTTTTTTTGCAAACAGTCTAATTCATTATCGATTTTTTTTGAGAGAGAGAATAAAAATGTCAGAAAACCAGCCATTTGGCTAGTTTTGACAAAAACAAACAACATTCTCAGTGTACAACACATCAGATAATGAATGATGAATAGCCTTCGCCTAAAAACAACAAGACGTGAAATGCTATGAGTTGATGTTTTTTTTTAGAAAAAATGATACTTTTGATTAGGTTATGAGTAGTAATTGTGGCTATACAGTTTTTCAACCACTATTGAGGCTTTCAGTTCATATATCAATATGTTCCAGGCTTTTTTTTACTTTACTATATACTATTGGAGTGTCTAAACGACAGTGATTACAGGGAGACTGTTTGTAAATGTTTTAGATCAGAATATTTCTTGAGGTGAAATATCGTGTACAAATGAAATCTAAGGCAGTCTGATAGCTTCTTTGTTGAATCAACCGTTACTAAAATATCCTTTCGTTTAAACAGACCTTACACGAACTGACATCATGAATAGGTAGAAGTTAGAATCCATGAGCCATCAAGAACCGTCTCCGTGGTCCTTGTAAACTAAATGTCCGGGATTCTATCCCTGGTAGGGGTGATGGGTGCTGGAGAGTTCCAAGTTAGGCCGAGACAGCTGTTATGTACTCCCTGGTTTCCAATGGTTCGCTAACTGAAGTAATTTAGTGATCACGATTGTAAATAGTGTACAGCTACGGTGAGGTACAGAGGCCTCACACGAAAATCTCCATTTGAACATGTTGTTTGAATTCTCCTTCTTTTGAATTCTTTCTTTCATGCTTTCTATATTGTTTCCTAAACACCTTTCACTCTCTGCTCTTCTCCATCTAATCTGTCGTTCCGCTATTTATTATTCGTGTATAAGACATTGCACACACACACACACACACACACAATATACTACTAGCAAAATCTTGTCTGTAACACACGCCACAGCAACATGTTACCTCGAGTTGTGACACAGTGAGCCAGTGTATTATTTACACTCATTAGACAAAGTGAAACAAATTATCAGTTGATCTGTAATAATTTACGAAGGACAATAGATGTATTTTGACATGAATTACTCATCGAATGATTTGCCATTGGTATTTACCGGTTGTTAATTTTGTTTTGAAGTACCTAGTCTTGTTCCAGTAGGTTCATTCAATATTGGTAATTTAAAAATAAGACTACACATTAGCTAGTCAGTCATCACGCTTATAACTCGTCTAACCTTCTACAAGATTTGACCATAGAATTCTGTATTCTGCTGTACCGCCAACGTGAAACAAAAAAGCCTCCTGGGTGTCTACTGATTCGAGTGTCTGGGATTATCTGTGTTGACACTAAGTACTGTATGCAAACAAATCCAGAAATTCATGTACATTTGAAGGAATAAGTCAACGTTTTTCAAATGTTCTCCTATCTTGTCTTGCTTGTGTCACAGCTTCTCACACACTCAAGCGGTAAGTGGCACACAACACTTTAATACCTAAGCTACCTGCAGCTCAATTCCCAGTCAGCCGAAAATCCTCAGAGGTTGGGACACCTGTGTTTGGTTGAGACCACAGAGCAGGTACCAGCAAATGGATAGAAGGACTGATTAATGTAGGATGTGACAATTGGAACAGGGATGTGGATACGGCAACAAATAGAACTTCGAATATCTCATGATAGGGAGACTAAAAGCAGTGGTTTTCCAGTAAATATACCACTAGATACATTTGAAATGGAACGCGGAGAAGAAGCCGTTGGCGCACCTGATAATAACGAACCACTCCCTTGAATTCAGTCAGGTGCAGGAAACAGATGGTGCACGTATTTAAAACAGTAGTATTGTGATGTGCTAGTTGACATATTTGTGAATGAATATTCCCTCTTCCTCTCTCCACTTGTGTATTCTCTTTCCATCTGTGATCACCATGGCCTTACGAGTAGTGTGATTTATTATCAAGCAAGTTAATTCAGGTGACATTTAAAGACAGCACTACTCATAGTGTCTTACAAATTGAGATTAGTCGCAATGAAATGCAGAATATTGGCTGATAATTCTAATCTGTGGGAGTAAACTAATTATTCTTATTACCTCAGTGAAGCTGAAGAACACGTAGGAAACTCTAACGAAACAGACTCAAGCAGTGTTCGTTGACTTCACATCAGCCAGTGGTTAGGGGAAAATGTGTTACCGGACGCAGACATAGGAAAAATAATAAAATGCACTACATTGCATCCAACTCACAGGGTTTGTCAAGTTGATTTTGCTTTAACTGTACAAGAATTCAGACCTTAATACACTCAACTCACTTAGACAGCATACCAATTTACTGGATCCAGTGATCATTATAGTCTAATTGCTTAATTAGTGTGGATTTGTAATCTGATTGGTTGATTAATCCCATTGGTCGGTCACTCTGCTAGCGTCTACAGAATGGGTAGAATTTTTTGTGTAGGCGGTTTTCAGTGCACAGGTGTTGGCTATATGGGGGTGGAAAATGCTAGTCACCTAAGCATACCACAACATTGCAAAACTAATTAGCAGCTGGGATACATACAAAATATGATTACAGTTAGTGGATATTTAATGCACTGATGTTTTTGTGCATCCTTGTGAGGAGATCTTAACCAATCAGAATTAAATCACGCGAAATTACATTTTAAAGTGCATTTTAAAGATACAATGAGAGTTAAAAGTAGGTGTTCAATGATGCTTCTAGACGCGGTAAATTTTATATTAACACAATCAATTCATTCATTACTGTGCAGACCAAAAGACCCAGCAGCAAATTATGATGAGATCTATACCAACTACAAAACTATATTGGTAAAATTGGGCATCCCCGTTAAATTTGGAACCCAAGATCATAAATTAACCGTCAAAAGCCGCAACAATTATTCTTTATTATCGATACTTGTCGACAGTTATAGAAACCAGCTAGCTAGGGAAAATGTAGGCATTTTAAACAGTAGAAACACTAAAAACATATCAGGAAATTTCTGGAAGCCTAGTACTCAGATGAAGCAGAGATTAACAAACACATTATTAAAGATCAGATTTATCCATTTATAAAAAATAAATCACATGATAGCAAAAGTTCAAATTTCAAGTCAATAAAAACGATCAATAGAGATGTGAATTAACAACCTATCACGACAATGATGGTTTATAGGAGATACAAGCTTGAGCTGAAGATGTTGTCTAGAAGGATAATAGGAGCTTTGCAATCAAACTACCTAGCTCAAAGAAGACAATCACATCAAAACAAAACTCTTCGAGTGGAATAATAGTGACTATTTTGACTGGACACTAGTCAGTAAGTAACTAGTTTTTCTCAGTCTGAATTCTACCAGTCTAGTTTCCAATGCGGTCACCACGTTAGGCGGCTCGCCATCACAGGTACATTCTGAAATATTGTTATTATATGGTTAGAGGCAATCCACAGGATGCCTTGTGCCCTGGTTTCATGCTTATTGGCACTCGTCAGCAAGCCGTATCTACAGTCGTCAAAGAACTCATTTCCTTTCTGAGATTCGAACTCGTATCACTTAGTTCTGCAATCAGAGACGTTACCACCGGGCAGTTTGAGCTCACGACTGATCTCCTGCAGGACTGTAATTGAAACTTTTTTAGGTTTCTCAATTTGGCTGTGAAATTTCACATTCGTAAATCATACTTTCATATTTGTGTTTATAAACGCGGGATAAATTATACTTTGATGGTGTATCCGGTAGTTGATCTGTTGATGAATTCTTCTGACTGTATACTTTAGGCATTGAACCAAATGAATTCAATTCATTCAAACAATAATTATGATCAACATTTATTGTACAGCAATCAAGTCTGCCAATAGTTATGTTTAGTGCTTCATGAAATTGACACAAATGTTTGGTAAAATAATCATGGGCATTTTTCATATATGTTATAGCTTTTTGATTATTGTATTCTATGGAATTTCTTGATTCAAATGGGAATAAAGGTTGCATATGAGTAATATTTTTAACAATAATTTCATTCAAGTGTTGGTTTGGAGGGGTTTGATTGGTTTCAGGATTTCATCATGAGCTGACATTGGTTCGAGAACCACTGGAAAACCTGGGAGTACTGGGCAGCTGTTTCGTCCTAGTTTGTGACTCTTCAGCACTACCCACCCACCAGGATTCGAATTGGCAGGAGTTAGAATTGATGGGCCATTGGATCAGGTCCCTGTGGCTTAATGATATACGAGCTCGCCTTGTAACCAGAAGATCCTGGGTTCGAATCCCGGTGGGTGTGTACTGATGAAGAGTCCCAAACGAGGACGAAACAGCTGCCCAGTACTCCCAGGTTTTCCAATGGTTCTCCAATCAATGTCAGCTCATGATGAAATCCTGAAATAATTTCATTATTTATTCCTTTTTCAATAATATCCAATTTATATTCACAGCATATTTCCTCCTTCTTCGTATAACTGACATCATTATTGTTCAGTGTCCAATACATTATACTTATATAGGTAATTAAAACAAGTAAGATTATCAAATGGTTGATGAGATGATTGAACATTGAATTGAATGAGTAATCTACTAAACTTCCTTTATATTTTATTAGTGAAATTAATTAGACCTTTGTTAATCACAAAGAAAGATGGCCGGCCTTGGTAGATTTTTAAATCTGTCAGTAATCGATAGATCCTACTCCTATTTCTCATACTCATCTAGACTTAAATATAGATAACCGGTTGTGCATTCTTCTATACATACATATTATATGCATATAAATCAGATTTCTTTATCAAGAAGGAGGGTTTCGAAAAAAAAACCTAAAGTAATTTATGAATTAACACGATAATATCACAACAAAATGGTGTAAGATCTAAGCCATTAAAAGAAGTTGAACATTGCTTTATTTGTTTTAAACTGAAATTAAATGGAACACTGGTTATCACAATGAATTTGTATCAAATTGCAGTATATATATATATATAACGTACATGTGCGTTTCAAAATTGTGTCGCATGTTAAATGCTTAGATCTGTGTGAAACGTTATTCTCAAGAGCAGATATTCTTTTCTGGACTTCATTGAGTATTTTGTGAGGAATTTGATTAATCCAGTTACTTATTTCAGTCAGTCAGTATTCTGTAGTGCCTTGCATTTATTCTTTCTTTCTTGATTGCCATTCATGGTGTCAAGCAGATCACATACTGTGATCTGAATAATTTCGGTTTCAAAATAAAACTTGTGAAGTGAAGTTTCTTCTCCGAATGTGTAAACTGCAAATGGTGAATTTGACTGAGTGTATCGCCATTTTGCCAAAGTAGCCAACCAGGATAATCGTAGTTTGAATTGATTCGGCTATCCGAGTTGAGTCGGAGAGGACAAACAGCTGGTGAAACTGGCCTCAAACGAGCGAAACAGTCAACCGGTGTTCAGATCAAATCGATCTGACTAGAATGCACTACTCGTTGGTGTGGGTGATATCCAACTACTCATTTCATTCAGTCAGTAGTATGTAGCATCACAGTTAATATTTTAGTGGGATAACATAGAGGTATTTATTCACCAAGATGATCCTCTGTTATGACGGAATGCATATACTTCTTCTAAACTCTCCCTGTCGCTCGGTCATTAAACATTCTTGGAAAAGACATCACATACAACATACTACTTGTAAACATTTTTCAGTAGCATACGTGGCAATATAATAATAATGATTTTATCACTATCATTATCTACAGAACAATTAACAAATAAGATACATTCAATAATAATATGTTCATTGTTTAATTTGAAAATCCAAATAAGTGTGGAAGGAAATTATTTTATTATGCTCAGAGAGCCAGCGTAACTTCGACTTCTGATGTGGAATGAAACTGTTCACACTTCATAGTAGTTTTCATTTCCTACAAGAATCTACTAATTTCTGTAGTGGGTACAAGTTCTCATCAGTAAATTCACTGACGCCACATATCTTCAGAGTTTAATCAACTGTGAGCTCTGAATAAACAGTCAGTTGAAACTTAATTGATGGATTCCCGATGGATGGAAGACTTTCGTAGCATAAATCATCAGAGAGATCATTTTTCGTAGCTTCTCTGCATAGCTGTCCAGTTGTTTAGGGGGTTTTATATAAATGCATATATATATATATGACACGGGTTCGAATCTCAGAAGGGACATAATTTCTTTCAAGGTTGCAGGTGCGCATTGCTCATTGGTGAGTGCCGACTAGCACGAAACCCGGGTCGAAGGCTTTCTGCCGATTGCCTCCAAACATCTAATATACTGTTTGAATACCATAACTTCTTTGCACTTTTTATTTCGACACTTTATGTCAGGACTGTGTGTTGTGTTTAGTCCTCCACAGACTCACTCCACTACCCTCATAATCATACCTTGTCATGATTATGATCACCAATAAATTGTGCTTGAAACATCACCAGTAAATATTGCTGTATAATAATAACACATAACATAAATACTGATTATTACCAGATTTCTATCTGGACAGTTCGACGGTTGATCAACTAACATGGAAGGATCTCAAACTTCAATGTGGAACAGATATTTAGAAGATGTTCTAAAGACTTTGACATGTCAGCTTGCCTTTCTTAAGCAACAAAGGGTCATTACAGTTTTCAATAGTTAAGTGATTGAGTGTAATTTCAATTATTTGTAGATATTTAAGTTAGGTTCCTTAGTGTAGATCCCAACAGCCAGCCTCAGCAATATGTAGTAGACGAACTCTTAAGGTGAAGTTTAGATCAGTTGGTATGCGGTAGATGACTTTGAAAGCTGCCTCGTTAACATCAATCTTGTGTTCTGTATCCACGAGATGAGATAGAACACAGATATGAATGGATTTTGTTTGTCCTTCACTTAGCCACCATCAGGATGTTGTTCGGAAATCTGACGATAAACATGCCTAATTGTACGGCCTATGTAACTGGCTCACTCACAGGAGCAGTCAAACTGGTAGATACACAGAGAAGAGGCGAAATTAGGCAGTTCATCTTTAACTGCCAAACGCTTTCCTTACCCCACTGGCCATCAAGGTTTTAATGATCCTCAATTTGTTGTGGAAATTTCCTTAATTTTATTTGATATTATATTTACTATTACATTTTTATGCTTATTACAACTTAAGCGTACTTCTTGAACTGTGATTTCATTGATCATTCTAAACAAATCGGTAGTATTTAAAAGCATCAGTATTGTAAAGGACGACTATTCTAGAATATTCTGTGTATATAATTATTTATATATATTTGTAGAGCGAGAAGAGGAAATTATCGAAAAGGATATTCTTTGCTCAGATTTTCTTTTGTCTTCCAAACATGTAAATGAACAACCAATCAGGACAATAACTGTCAGAAGACACAATTATATCATCATTCATGGATAATTCATATAAATTCACTTGATATTAAAACCTGCTCTGAAAATGTTGTCTAGAAGGACAACGAAACCTTCGCAATTGAACCAACCAACTCAGAGAACAAAAGTAAATCAGAAATGTGATTCTTACAGGCATTGTCATCATGTCGGTACAATATACTTGTAATAACTGAAACAGTTTATTTTATTTCTGAGTACTCATCCTAGAATGAAGCAGCCATTTGTAGGTCGTGTCCTTAAAGATCCAAAATAATCATAATAATAATGGCTTTATTCCCAACATCACGTTTAATACAATGGAGAATAATCCGCCATGTAACACAATATAGGAAAAAAATAATTATGAAAAAGAGAAGACGTTCAGCGAAGAGACTCTTTTCGGCGAATTCATTCACATAGCTGTACAATCGCATTTTTATATAATTATTTTTTTGTGTGTGTACATGAGGTTTGTTAAGTTTAGATAATTGGTTAGTTAATACTGTGGTGAGAGCTGTCTACTAGCCAAATTGGTAGACAGTAATTTTCGTCAATATTTACGTTCCCAAGATTTGTCGTGAGAAAATGTGAACAAAGGATTGATTCAAAACCGACCACAGCAGACTTTGCGTAGGCGGATACAGTTAACATATAGGTGATCTGACATTCAAGAAGCAGTCACAAAGTGATGAAAGATTAACTTTAAGTGAGAAATAACCAATCAGAAGACTGTGTTTGTTTGCTTAAATAATCTATAATAATGTACATGAAAATATATAAATATGCGTTGATTTCCTTAATAAATGATCTGTTGCCTGGTCCTTGTCTTCTGTTGTTACAATAGTACCCTTCACAATGCAGCAAAGTATTTCCTTAGTAGTCCAGGTAAGATTGATGTGGGTGGGGAGGGGCAGGGGAGGCAGTGAAGAAGAATAGGTAGAATACAAGAATTAATAAATTATAAGAGTAGAGACTGAGTGATACCAAATTGTAGAAGGTTAGATGAAAATGAACATTCACTTGTAATTTTGGAATATCTCTTAATTATTTCTAAGCATACTAACGTGCTCAATTAACAACGGCTTTTATTCCCTTCCATTTTGCTACTTAATCACGTGATATTAATATCCAGCGTCTTTATGATCGAAACTGTAGCGTTTGGGTATTTTGTATATTCCATTGTGGGTAAAATTTATTTTGATAAAGTCTCACAGTGTTATACAGTAATATTTACTGATGACCACGTTTCAAGCACAATTTATTACTGCTCATAATCATATCAAGGCAATACTCACACAACTTTCTAAATTCGTTTATATAATTCCATTATTTCTCATCTCTTGACTTGATTGGTAGTAGTATTTTCCATATTTCTGGTATGAGTGATGAGTCATTCCTATTGCACGTGTTGGGTGTAGACTCGATGAACAAGGATTCAGTAATCAACCTTTCTCTCCACCTACCTATATTACTTCTTAGAATTTTAACCCTCTCCCACCCTGTTGTGTGGTTGTGTGTTAATGCATGCAGTGCAGTTGCTGAGTTTTTTTCTTAATTACTTATCTTCACTGAGTCAATTTTTCTAACCTTACAGGATTCCATCATGAACTGACATTGGTAAGAGGACCA